GTTATGACAGTGCACCTGTTAATCTATTTGTGACAGGTGAGTGACTTAGGGGTGGAAATGTATATGATGTTAAAAGCTTTGCTCTAAACCATCGCATTAAAATGTTCTTCATCTTCCTCCTCGGACCCTTTATCTAGCTTCGGGAAGTCCTCCTTTTCTATCAGTAGTGTGGGGAGAAGATGACAAGGTCAACGTGAGCTGTGAATCTGAAGGCTGGTATCCACAGCCTGTGCTGCGCTGGTCAGACAAGAAGCAAGATGTGAAACCTCAAAGTCTGGTGTACAGAAATCTGTCTTCTGGACTTTTTTTAGTCCACAGTTGGCTTCTTCTTTCCTCCACCTCTGAGCCTTCCTGCTCAGTGGGTCTCTCTGATAAAGAGGTAAAGGAGGCCAAAGTCAGCCTGGGACCTCTTTGTAAGACTGTTGAACCTGGTAAAGAGACTTTTTGTGTGTGTGTAATAGTTATATTATGTTTATTTGTTTTTGATTGTAAATACAGTAAAAGCTGAAATACAAGATTTCTTGCTTTTTGTTTAGAGTCCTCGCCAGGTGGGTGGGTGGCCTTTGCACTGCTTCTTGTAGCTGCATTAGCGTTGGCTGCATTGGGAGTGATGTACCACAGAAAGAAAGGTACCTAACACATACACAATACATTTATATAATATCTTTAAATATATAACACTTTAAAGTTATCACTGTCATAAGAAACTGTTCACTGTCTGAAATTAAATCCTGATATGTTTGTTTTGTGTTTCAGTGAGGAACGCCCAATCAGGAAGAGACCAAATTGATGGTAAGAAAGAGCACACGACAAGTTCAAATTAATGCTCTCAGTTATATAAACATGTGTCCGGGCAGAAAATGAATCCTGACATGAATATTTTGTGTTTCAGGGAACGGCTTAAGTGGTAAGAACGTCACACTGAACAAATCATTTTTCACATCAGCTGTGGTTTTGTTATATGTGTAATAACGGGATAAAAGGATGATGCATTTGCTTGAAGATGGAGCAAAGTCAGCCTCTGACACAACCTGGATCCTACTTCTCTCTGTGATTTGTTATCCCCATGCTGGTGTTGTGCTTACAT